AATATAGTGCCGTTTCATCGTCGTTAAAAATCTGATAAGGTGACTAAGGAACTTATGGGATGTTCTTGAACGGAAACCGCGCTGTAAGAGTACCGCGTTAGAGGAGGGCTGTCGCAATTTCAGCACCGCGTTATATGGAAATCGCGGTCTGCGAGTGCCGTGTTATAGGAGGTTTAACTGTATACGTATCTTTCTTATTTACTAAAATAATTCAAACAATTCATTACGATGTCACATTGTTTTGAGTTAACATTTATTTTCTTTTCTTTTTGTTAAATTTTCTTTTTCATATATATATATTATAGACATGACAATAAATAATAAATGTATCTTTTACTTCGTGTTCAAAGTTGTTTTCCCATTTTTTTTAATATATTTTTTTTTTACTTTTTTCAGAAGAAAAATACGCGTACAATATATACGAAAAACATAATTTTCTTTTTAGACACAAACGAACATTCGCAACATCGTATTACTTCTCTTTTTTTTTTATTTTATAACTTTTTAAAATAAAACGTATCCCAAACAATGAACAATTAAAAACAGTTAACTATTTTCAAATTAATTACAATTAAAATTCGTCATATATGTTCTCGTCGTGATATTAAAATTTAAAGTTAAAATACGTGAAAGATTATTTAACATTAACGATTGTATTAATATAACGATATATGTATATACATTTATACATGCATGAAAATTTCGATTAAGATTACACAATAAGATGTATTTAACTAACGTATATCTATTAATTAAATAAAAGACATTTAATTTCATGAAATTTCATCAATATTCGCATGTCCAATTATATCAATGATGTTACTAAAAAGATTCATCGAGAAAGAATTAGACAAATAAATTATTAATAATGAATACATGTTTGACAATTCGCGTTAACTTGCATTTATTCCTAATAATAATTATAATAATAATAATAACAAGAATTGTTTCTTGTAATGAATTTACAAAAAAAGAAAATTACAGACAGACGAAGAAACAACAACGAAAAAAAAAAATACTGACATTGTTTGAAAACATTCCGGATAAACATATTTATTTATGTAAATATATAATATATGTGTAATCTTGGCCGTGTAAAATAATTCTAACTACGTAATATCTTTCAAATAGATGTTTCCTTTACTGATTCATCACAAATCGTTCATAGAATTATCATCATTGCCATTGTCGATGTGATCTATGAGAATTATCATCTTAAAAAAAAAGACGATTATCTTGAGGATTACAATAGTACGATTAAATTCTTTGAAAGATATTTAATGATTTTTTATAATCGTTAGTTCATTACTACGAGTTCGTTATTATACTTCTTAATTATTATTCTCTTTTTTAACGTGTATAAATAAATGATTAAAAGGAAATAATTCACATATTTAAAAAAAAAAAATTAGAATTTGTATTTAATCATATATAATTCATGTATATATATATTTTTTAAAGATGTTACTTTTTTATTTATATTTGTAACTGATCAAATAAAAAAGTTACCTTTTTCATTGAATTTAATTTATTTTGAATTTACGATTATAAATATATTTTCTCATTTTGAATGTAATCAAATTAAATATAATATTTTAACAATAGTTTTCAATATCAATATTAATTATTATATTAACGATATATGACTATATAAGTAAACAAGTTAATTAGAAAATTAATTTAATTGGAAATCGTTTTATCTTACAATTACATATATATTGTGTATATACAGACAGTAAAAAATCCCAGTCAAATAGGATCGTAATAAATACGAATAACCAAAAACAAATCCGGATATAAGTATATCATATCGACGTTTGTTACCGAAGAAATATACGAGACAATTTACAATGAAACTTTATGCTGCAATTATAAACCCATGCAGTCACGACGATAACGTTGAAGTCTGGTATTTTGGGCGTGGTCGCTTTTACACCAAAGAAAAAATATATATATATATATATATATTTACTTTATAGTAATGTACTAACATAGAGAGAGAGAGAGAGAGAAAAAAAAATAAAAATAAAAAGAGAGAGAGAGAGAGAGATAGAATCGTTCAAGTATTACCTTTTATCTATGATACATAAAAGAGAAAGAAGGAAAGAGAGAGAAAGAGAGAGTGAGTGAGTGAATGTTAAGAAAAGTTACAATAGTAGATAAAACTAACCCGTGTGTATACATATACCTATGTATGTATATGTATATGTATTTACATAGTTACATGCACATGACAATGAGAAATGTATAGAACTGGCTAACCACCGTTGCAAACTTTCTGTGCTCAGCTGCGTAACGGAATCTGGAGTGAATCGAAACTATGGTAGGTTATAGTGAATTGTCCCTACCAGAAAACATTTTATTCGATTATCGTTCGTGCGTATCGTACGATTAAAAAGTTGTCTATAATCGTAGATCTTATATGGTACGTTCTTAAATGTGTATATTTTTCTTTAATTTCTATTTTTTATAAGGGGTTACACATGGGTTTATTATATCGGGAAAAAAGTAGCATATTTTCAAGAATTTTTTCTTTCTTTATATAAAAAATGGAATTATTATTCTTTTTATAACATTTAAGATACATATTTAATAAACATTTTCTGATCATTTTTCTTGAAAAATATTGAAAATTCAGCCATTGCGATGTCATGTCTGGTGAGCCCCACCGAAAAAAAGTGTTTTCGCGTTGACAGCAGAACTTATGAACGGTGGGGGTCTTTTAGTGAATACATAAAACTAGAAATTGGACGAAGGAAAAAATAAAAAATTGCAATTTGGATTTTTGGCAAGGTTTTTGGGCAAGAATATTCAAATTTCGCTACAATTTGTACCACATTTTGGTTTCTTAAAATTAGATGTGATGAAAAAAAAAAGAAAATCCTTCGTCCAAGTCCTTGTTAATAGTATCTCGAAGAAGTGTAACAAATTTCATTAAGATCGGTTGCATAGTTTTCGAGAAATCTTGACAACTAACTTTAAAAATAGCGTTTTGAGAAAAAAGTTTTGAGTGATGATAAAAGAGCCATTTAAAAGTGGAACTTCCCATGGCTCTATCTTTTAAACTATTATTCCTATCGATTTCAAAATTTAAAACAATATTCTAGACAAGTTGTAGAATTTAATAAGATAACAAAAAAAGAAATTGATTTTTTGTAAGTCCCAAATCCATGTAACCCCTTAAACTCTACGCTATTGTTACAATATATAAAATAGAATTTAAAAAAGAAGAAGAAGAAGAAGAAAACATGGGGGTAAAATAAATCTATTTAAAATTATCTACATTGTTGTTGTTGTTATTGTTGTAACTTGGTAATTGGGCCACTGAGTTTTGATATTATTAAATAATCATCCATTTGATTAAAGCATATAGAAAATGGAACGATAAATTCAATACAACGTAAAAGGAGGGATTATATATATATATTGTAATCCTATAATAATTTGTAGAAATGTAACACATAACTGCAATGGTAGTTTGACTTATCAATTATTACGAGAGATCATTAAATTCGTATTTATTTGTTACGTTTGAAAGTGTACCCAACTATGTATTATTATATATATACTATACTATAATACTTTCTTTTACTTAGTTGGAAAATAACGTTAATTGGTTCGGAATCAAAAGCGTAGGTGAATAGTAGTGACCTAAGTATTATACCAAGTATTGCATGGGTACTGTTAAGACGCAGAAAGAGAAAGAGAGAAGTATGTTACTTGGTATATACCATAAATCTATCTGCTTTGGTATACCAACCCTTTCCCTTCCCTTCCCTTCCCTTCCCTTCATTTCCCTTCTCTTTTCTTTCCTTCCCTTTCGCTGGCACGAGACTTAAGATCGATGAAAAATCTGTAGCACGCGGGAGAAAGGTTACCCACGGATTTTGCCTCGGATCTATCTCTCTATACTTCGTTGAGAAAAAGAGAGAGAAAAAGAGAGAGAG